AGGAATTTGTCTTTTGTTACGGTGTCTTTATTATGTTGACATGTATTAAGAAATTAAAACAGAAATGAACTAATATGTCTTGTAATAATTCAGCAACACCATCTCCTCATGTTCTCCACTGAAGGTGTATTCTTTCTCTCATGTTACCTGACGTCCCCTTCTTTTAATCTTGGAATTTGCCTAATCTCAGTTTTTAGACTCTTGCTTCTGCCTGCTCATTTAAGTAATATTCCCCTGGCTTCGCGTGTGTTTCTGCCAAACGACAAATGTACGATTCAATATGTCATTAAGTTCTTATTTGCACCCTGGAATGTCATTCCTTTGACCATCTGCCACATTCCTTTTTGATAAATTTTAAAGCCCAGACAAACAAAACCGTCCATTGTGTTAGGTTTCTGCTTTTAGATTCAGAAATAATATGGGTATAATAATTATAACCAACTCTATCAATTCCACCAAGCATGTAGAGACATTTAGATTATTTTCTCAGAGGGGATTAATAAGCAATCTATTACTATCCATTTTTACCCATTACCATAAAGCAGTTTGATTCTGCATTTCCTTTTGAGCCATATTCCCCCACTCACAGCAGGAAAACATCTCTTTATGTATGGAAGCTACATCTATTATTGACATTTTAAAACCAGAGTTGAAACTGCCCAGTCCTTCTTTGATATTAATTATGTCTACCTGTGTAAACATGACTCTGTATATTAGATAATATTAAAAAATGAATATAAATACATATGAAACAAAAATATATATCTTGAAGAATATCAGCAAATCTGTTCATGAATAACACATAAATTTGCATAAGAGTGTTAATTTAGTCAGAGAAGGTGATAGAGAATTTAAAAAAGGAACATTTTAAAATAGAAATCCAACCGCAAATTCAAAATGATTCATAAATATAACACAATAATATAATTTTTAAATTAGAGATAAAAACAACAGTTTAGCTTGGCTGGGGTGGTTCAGTGGTTGAGTGTTGATCTATGAACCAGGAGGTCAGGGTTTGATTCCCTGGCAGGGCACATGCCCAGGTTGCAGACTTTATCCCCCCCGAAGGGCATGCAGGAGGCAGCTGATCAATGAGTCTCTCTCATCATTGATGTTTCTATCTCTCTCTCCCTCTCCCTCTCCCTCTCCCTTCCTATCTTGAAATCAATAATAATATCAATATATGTAATATATTTTTAAAAAAAACACAGCAATTTACAAAAAAAAAGGTTAAACCCTCTACCTATTATTTTTTACCTTTAACAAATGCTATTAATTTTAGTAGGGAATGGAGCAGCCAAAATAGAAAACATTCTGTTTGAGTTACTAAATTTATAAACACTGCAGGAAAGTATAAGGATAAATACTCCAAGAGTTTGCTTTAAGGTCCCCTGCCTAAGGCACAGGGTAGAGTAGGTGATTCCCGTGGCATTTTCATTACCTGGTTCCAAGCAAGGAAGGAATTAGGCAAAAGTGCATATTAAGAAGGAAAGCAAAATGAAGTGGCAAAAAATGGTAAAATTAGCCATACTTTAATTCTGTTTTTACTTTTTTGTTTAGTGAGTATGAGTTAGCTGTCCTTTTATTGTCACTGTGAGTAGTATAGAATAAGGATGTGAGAGGAAGTATGAGCTGACAAACCCATTTGCAAATGATATATAAAAGTAAAAAAAAATCAGCAGAGGTTAAAATAAATAAGGAGACGAGAAAAGCACATATATATTTAGCCAAAGCATCGGGCCCACTAAAACAAATCAAATCACTACCTCTGTAAATCACACTTCCCCGCTTCAGGGTCAAGATTGCACATGGACTGTCCGCCTCTCCTTAGTCAGGCGTTGGGGTCCACCTTGCATAGAGAATAGCATGATTCTATCAGGTGTGACTGGATAAATGCTGTGAGTGAAGACTGAGTGAGGCTGGACTGAGAGGAGAAAGAGATTCATGGCAGAGAAAAATCAGCCTCATCGCTGCCAGCAGGTGAGTGACTCAGCAGGCACAGCTGCCCCACATGCATCAGGGGATATCTGAGGCTTCATTGGCAGCCTCATTCTCAGGACAGGCCATGGCACTCTTTAACTTAGGCATGAAGGAACCGCTAAGTGCTCTTTTGAAGCCCTGTGGTTAAAAACAGAATTGTAAATGGCTATGCTCTGTAGAGAAATTACACCACCAGCTGTGAGCTCTGGTTTGAAGGACAGAAATAACTGGGAATACTGACTACTACAAATCTGACAATGCTAAAGAAGCGTGAAATAAACTTAAAATTCCCCATGGGTTCCAGTATATGTAAAAGTAAATGACCGCATTTCACTACAAATGAACTGACATTTGAAAGAAAAGACACCTTTTTATTAGCTACATGGTCAAAGTTTAAAGTATTCCTTATCTTAAACTCAAGGCAATGTACTAGTAAACTCGAAGTTAGATATTCTTTCACTAAACCCATATTCCATAAGGAAAAGCAGTATTTCTCTACTTAAGTATTTTTCTAAAAATCATTAAAGATTTATAAATAACATGACCTCATTTTTTGAACTAGAAATAAATATTGCAAAAAAATAATAAAAAGTAATAAAAATTAAATAAAAAGTAATAAAATTAAATAAAAAACAATATCTTCAAAATGAAAAGAACAGTCTACAAAAGCTTTGTTCCATTTTAGTTTAAAATGGAAATTTTTAGTGCAGTTCTTTACTTTTAAAAGAATGTGTTATTTAGACTCATTTATTTTTTTAAAATGCTAGTGTCTACAAAAGTGGGGAATGCATATGAGAAGAAGGAAACAGGTAAATATAAGTAGGAGATGTCCTTGATAGCAAATTATCAGCAAAATTATAAGGATTTTCAAATTTGAAAGGCACATTAAATGCTATTTAGGACCCTGAAAACTGAGAAACAAGTGTCTAAGAGTTATAAATTACTTTTCCCCTCTACTAAAATGTGTAAGATTTGTAAATACACTTGACAATTGGTATTAAGCCTAGGAATTAGGCTAGCGAAACGCCTTGCCTCAAGTAAAACGTAGTCTCAAGAGGCAGCATAAAAGATCCTGAAGCAGAACAGACTTTCTCTGTAGACTAATGGCAATTTTATATTGGGGGATGAGGTTATCCTTTTATAATACAAAATAAATGAACATAGTAATTGTATGCACAGACTCCTGTTGTAAGCCTCTATTCACAGACTTTGTGGCATGGCTATAGCGCATCTGCTTTAGGCGTTTGGTTAATCAAAATTATACAATGGATTTTTTGATGCTAACATTAAAAACTTATCACTATTTAAAGAGTAGGTGATAACAGGAAACACTACATTTTAATCAGAAAACATTTTATGCGTTTTTATTGTTTTAGAGTAATAACAGTTTAAAAATGCTGGAACTTAAAAATCTTCTGAGCCTGATTTTTAAATAAAATTGTTTCATTGTCAATATATTAGTTCATGATAAAAAGGTCATTATCAAACATACAATACAATATTCATTTCGCTATATATGTTGTAAAAAAGAAA